ACCCCTGTGACTGTTGACACTTTGAAGCATTGGGGGGGGATTGCGGGTTTAACTCAAGGCTCTTAGGACTATCACGGGCTTTGTGTGGGAAGGTTTGGGTCTTGGAGGCTAAGCTTTGGGATCCTTCTAGGGGGGTTCCAAGATGGGTTGAGGGTGTAGAGGTAAAAGTAGGAGATGTGCCCCCCCCCCCCCCCACACTAATCAGCAGCAAGATGCCCTGATTAGCTTTCATAAGTCTAATAGTTACGATTAAGGCCTTCGGGATCCATATCGTGGGGAGGGCAGGAAGGACCCCGTGAGGTAAGGCAGGCAGGGAGGGCGCTTTGGGGTTGCAGCTTCTGGTGGGGTTTATGGCTGAGGAAGAAGGCCAAATGTGAAACTCTGATCCTTGATCAAGACACAGTTGGTTTCATATTTGGTCTTCCTGCAGTTAATACGGACCTAATTAGGCACGGGGAGGACTCTGAATGACAACCTCGCGCACTCTCAAGCCCTGACCTTCAGCCCAAAACCCTAAGCCCGAAACCTAGAAGCTCCAGGCCTTGAACCCGGAATTGCTGATTCGGGGCCACTTGCAGAGGGAGGTGCCCAATTCCTGTGTCAGGGTTCTAGGTTACAGCCCCTCCTTGTCTTGGAACGTTTGCTCGAACCTTGACTTGGCCAAGCTATGGCTTCAACTCCACGACTTCAGGGACGGCACGAGCCCGATGCTGGGGTGCTTCTGTAGAGATGAGGTTCCCAAGTGCAAGCCGCCTCCTTTGTTCAAGGCTGTAGTGGAAATTCATTCATGCAGTCATGCATATACTATGCTAGTGGGCCTCATTGAAGGCTGGTCCTGATGTCTAAGCGCAATACGGTGCAGGGAGCATTGTGCCAAGGCTTAGCAATTATCATCAGCATGATTTCACCAACTGGCTCCTTTCCGGGGAGAGCGTTGAATTTGAAATCTTCTATGCAAAGCATGGTCTCTTGTGTGTCCAGAGAGAATCTCATCGCCGTTTTGCGGCGGTCTGCCATCGGATTCCGTGTTGCTGGCCGTTCTGCACAAGTTCGCTTAGCCACCTGGCAGGTGAGCTCAGCAGGCCGGGTGAAGTCAGCCATAGGGTGCATCGGCTACGGGGCTCTGGCTCCCTCTGGGTACCGTGCCGTCAATATACAGAATCAAAACTATTATGTCCATCGATTGGTTGCTGCAGCTTTCCTTGGCGCACCGCCGACTCCAGAAAGTTGGCAAATTCACCACATCGACGGTGAGCCTTCCAACAATTGCGCCAGCAACTTGCAATATGTCACTCCAGCAGAAAATCTTTGCTACTCATGGAGGACTCGGGTTCAAAAGGCAGGTGTAGCCTCCAACTGTAAGCCCGTTCTGTGGCGACCTTGTGGTGGGGACTCCTTTACATATTCTTCGTCGCAGAAAGAGGTTGCCAACCAGCTAGGTATACCACGAAGTTCAGTGTCAAGGTGCTGCAGAGGCGTCGCGCAAAAGGCAAGGGGAGGAGATGGAATTTGGTATGAGCTGAAGTGGGCAGCTCCGCAAGCAGAAAAGAGAGGAAATTATCCAGAACCTGAGGTCTGGCAGTCAGCCATGTATCCTGGTCAAGAAGAGGCCATCGTTGGAGCGATGGTAAGCAGCCATGGGCGAGTGAGCTTCCACACTAGATACCATAGACATAGCACATTTGGGCATCGACGCCGTGATGGTTACTTCTGCGTCACCATTCAGCGCCGAACGCTCCGGGTGCATCGACTGGTGGCTGCAACCTTCCTTGGACAACCTGAGTCGGCAGACATGCACGTGAATCACAAGGACCGCCAGCCTGGCAACAACCAAGTCTGGAATCTGGAGTACGTAACACCATCCCAGAATCAGCTGCATTCGTACGCGCATGGTCGCCAAGGCAAATCAGGAACGTGTAAGGCTGTAGAAGCTCGTCTTTGTGGACTCGATGCTGGTTGGCAGCACTTTCAAACAATTAAAGACGCTGCCCTGTATACAGGCTTTTCCAGAGTCTTGATTTCAAAGGTTTGCAGGGGAGACAAGGCTTCACATCCATCTTGGGAGTTCAGATTTGCAGCAAATGATCTGCTTCCTGATGAGGAGTGGCGCCCGGTGGTGGTGGAAGGGGCAAAGGTGCAGATCAGAGCAAGAGGTCAAGTAATCTCTAATCTCTCCAAGTAGTTCTACCACAGCATGCTGAAGTTTGTAAGGTTTCAGGTATGCTTGCTGAACTGGACAAACTTTCATGGTGTTCGGCCCATGAGGGGGGCGGCCTGAAGCAGTTTGACATGCTTGAGACCGGACGATGCGCCCCACCGTGCACAAAAGGCCTGCATTGGACCACCCGTGCGATAAAGAAGGCTGTAGAGCAGCTTGAGGTTTTCAGTCAAGGTTGTCTTCAGGGCATGGGGCCTTGTGATGGATTACCATGCTCCCCCGAACCAATCAGGGTAGACATTCCCCGGTCAGCCTGAGCAACCCTACTTGTACCCAAGCACGCTCGTGTGGGTCCATATCCTGGGTTGCTGTTAAGGAAAATTAAGTTACTTTGATCCAGAAGCCCGATTATTAATTGTTATGACTATGACTATGACTATGGTTCTTAGTATAACTATTTGTTATCTGTAGACCCATATTGTGGTAAGTTACTTGAAGTTCCTGAAGAGCAACCCAGTGTCGTGGGACGGCTCCCTCAGGAGAAGGAGGGAGGTGCTCTGGTCCTTCGAAAAACCTCTCAGTCTTGAGGAAGATAGCCGTTGCTCAGCATTACAGTTTCATGGGCAAGCACTTTAAGATGCTGTTGAGCTTGGTTATTTTTAGGGTCTACATGGTTCAGGAAGAGGCCAAATTTGTCATATTCTCAACTTTAATCAAGGTGTCTAGTTGATCTTCCTGCAGTTCGAATGGAGCTAGCTAAGCATGCAAAGGGCCCTTAACAACAACATTATGCCCTCAAGCCCTGACGCAAATCCCCGCGCACAAGCCCTAAACCTTGAAGCCCTAACCCCCAAACCTTGAACCTGAACTCTAAGCCACTGACAACCCAAAACCCCATAACCCAATCCCAGCAGTGAAGCCTAACTGTTGAAGCCTACATAATCTATGCATAGCAATATTCTGGTCGTTGTTTCTTTGTAGACGGGTGGTCTAGGCTACCTCAAATACACCCCAAAATGATATTGATATCGGTAAGTCGTTTAGGCCCCTATACTAAGTGTAAACAGGCCAAGCCTCTAAAGATGCGAGGACCACCCCGAAGCCCTGAACCCAAAGCAAGAACCTAGATGGCAATTCTCATAAAACATCCCTTACTTAATGCCTCATAGATTTCCGATGTATCCCTAGGATACCCCAGGGCTCCCCCTAAATCTGCTCGAAGCCCTCTGCACGCGGAGATCTTCTGGAGCGTCGCCCTCATCACCTGCTCCGCTGCTTTGATCTCGTACAACAAGTACTTGATCCATCCAACTCGGCGTCTCATCCCCTTTAAAGGCTTTTGGATTCTGAGGTTTACTCCAGTGTTTTCTAAGTTTGGCGGTAGGATTCCCTAACATTGGTGTTGGCCCCTGGCCGTGGCCTCTGTCTTTTGTGAGGATTCTGTTTCATTTTGATTGTATTTGCAAAGGTATAATATTACACATGTTGCGGACCTCTGACCTCATCCATTTTTCGTTCATTCGGGGAGGTCACATAAGCGGGCGTAGGGTTTCTCAGGCTTTTTGTTGAGTGCAGGACCAGGAGACTTTAAATGTGTTGGGCAGCACGAAACTTGCTGTGTCGCCGGGAAGGTGCTCACAGCTGGAATTTGGAAGGGATTGCTAATGTCTGTTTTGTCTGAAGAGCCAGCTGAACATTTCTACCAGGGCTCCAGGAGGGAAGGTGCATTGAATTCGTACGGGAGGCCGCAGTGCTTGAAGATTGGAAGCGTTGGCACATCCCTGGGCTCAGTTCTAACATAACGCCTCTAGAATACGGCCTTTACATAATCCGGCATTCCTAAGTAGTCCCCACTTACTGAGGGCCCTCATGAAGGGCCCCCCTGTAAACTCTACCCCCTGACGTCTGCATCTAAGGTTTCCATATCCTGTCGTGCTGCTTGGCCCACTTTCAGTTGGTTCAAGCTTGTCCTTGTAGGCCTCTTTCCACTTCGCAGCCCTTCGGACCGATTCGGACCCAGTACTTAGGCCAAAGCCTGGCAGTTGCAAATGTTGATGGAAGTTTCGTTGCTACTAGAGCAATATCAGTCGAAAAAAAAGTGTGACTAAGAGTACTGCAAGTAGCATTAGTATTAGGATGCGGCCGTATTTGCAAGCTTGCAGGGTATGTAGAAGTGCTTTCTTAGTTAGCCTGCGGGAATGATTTCAGCCTTTGCTGAATGAATTTCTAGTGGCTCCACAACGGATCCCAAATTTTGGCACCACCCCCCATGCCTTCGGAGCTCGTCTTCACCACAGCCGATAAGCCTTCCCCTCAACTCCCCCCGCCCCATAGCGTAAGATGCGGTCCTGTTGGCGATGTTGATAGGACCAGCTTCTGCTGTGACTACGAACATTGCTAGCGCTGCCACCGCTAGCGCTTTTCCAGCATCGGCTTCACCCCTTCTCTCTGGCTCTCTGGATGTCATAGCCTAGGCCAAAAGTAGTGTTTGATGGGACCATCTCAAGTTTGGGGCTCTTTGGTGTGTGGAACATGTCTCCACAAGCTAAACCTCAGTCACAACATCCATTTTGGGAGATAGCGGCCCCACACTTCAGACTCTAGACCTTGGTTACTGCCACCAGTCTGCAAGAGCTGGATGGTATGATAAGAACGATCTGTATACACACATATATATATATATTCATGCATATAGCCATATAGACTGTTACAAGGTGGAGGCAGTATCCAAGCTAGTTCTTCAGATGCTGAACCCTATGTTCGAGGCTCGTGCCCCTCCAAACTCCCGTAAGCTTTCTAGACCCCAGACCATCTGGGCATTTCCAGAAGGGAGCCCCCTCTTCAGACCCACATCGTATGTTACTTACTTTAAGGGTTCCAAAGGGGGACCCCTGCTTTCTGCAAAGACTCCTCTCCCTTTTTCCTTCACTTTGGAGGCTCGTGTTTCTGCACATGCTCGGCGGCTCTTTGCTTAGCTCGATCCTCCTGGCGACGTCTGCTGGATCAAGAAGTTGAGAAGGATTATTTACTGGTTCTTAGTAGGGAATAGGCGATATATTTCATAGGGAGCATGACCCTATTTTACCATGGCCCTGAGCAGGCTTAACATTCAGGGTAGCCCCCGAAAAGGGTGACAGCCTACAGTATGAGAAGATGCTTCTAAAACACTAGCATTTCGGCAGAAAAACGAATCCGGGTTCTAATTGCCCATTGAGAGTTTTCATGTCAGTTGCCAAGCACTCTTTAGAGCCACTTGGATTATATGACTTTAAACACTAAACTGCGTGCCAGGGGTAGGCATTTCGGAGCGGGCCTTTTGACCGTTCTGCTTGGCCTAACCCAGGCATTGGGCATCTGCATGCGCACCGGTCAACAGGTGAGCTTCTGATGTAGGGGTTTAGGGTTTAGGGCTATCCACCATTCAGCAACCTCTCCAAAGTTCTGTTGGCAGTGATCTGCGGAAAAGTCAGCCCAGGAACCTCCTATGCATCCCATAAAAAACTTTTTTCAGAATCCTGAACCCTTGATACCCTAAACCGGAACCCTAAACCCTAACAACCTTTATACTCCGCTAAAGCTGAGCCCGGGAGCGCTAAATCCTAAGCCCTCTGTATCCTGAACATGAAACCCTAAACCCTAAATAGTAGCTTCCATTTTCTTTCTTTTCCATGTTCCCTATATTATCCTATATAACCCGTACATAACCCCTATAATCCCTGTAGTTTCCATTTTATATTCCATTATCCCTACATAACCATCTATAACCCCTATAGAACCCCCTAACCCCTAAAGCTGAGCCAAGGAACCGTGAACCCTATCCATCCCTATAAAACCGCACATAACCCCCATATCCCTTTAGCCCTAAGCCCTAAACCCTACACCCTAAACCCTTTATATCCTAAGTCCTTTATACCCCCCGATTAAAGCTGAGCCGAGGAACCCCACCCTCTTCCCTGCGCTGACGGATCCAAACAAGAAGGCCAACTCAGTGGCTGTTCAACGCGGTTTAGGGTTTAGGGTCAAAGTTTACGGGATCTAGGTGTAGGGTTTAGGGTTTAGGGTCAAAGTTTACGGGATCTAGGTGTAGGGTTTAGGGTTTAGGGCCAACGTTTAAGGGATCTAGGTGTAGGGGCTAGGGTTTAGGGCCAAAGTTTAAGGGATCTAGGTGTAGGGTTTAGGGGCCTAGGGATTTAGGGTTTAGGGTTTAAGTAGGGAGCTAGGATTCAGGGTCTAGGGGTTTAGGGTTTAGGGTTTAATTAGGGAGCTCGGGTTCAGGGTGTAGGGATCTAGGGTTTAGGGTTTGGAGATCTGGCTGTGTGCGAGCCCAGATGCAAAAATGGGTTTGGAGATCTAGGTTTAGGGATTTAGGGTTCAGCGATTTAGGGTTTAGGGTTTAGGGATCTAGGGGTTTAGGGTTGAGGGTGAGGGATGTGGCCTTAACCCATGGGCTTCCATGGTCAACCGTCTTTATGGGAGCAAGTAGGGAGGGTGGAGGACCTGAATCCCTATGATATTTCCTTGTGATAGTCCCCTTCTAAGAACCCACATCCCCAAATCCCAGCAACAGTCATGCACCCATTCATTCTTAGCTAGTAGCTGGGTGGATAACCTTTGACTTTGGGGGTCCAAGAGATAAACCCTAACTCACGAAAACAAGCTTCTACATTAGTGAGCTAGAATCCTACTGCTATGTATAAGGGTTAAGCTTGTCGGACCTTGAAACTCAGCAGATAGGCCCTCAATCCCCCATCACAGCAATTATACTTTACTCCCCAACTTCTTCTTCAAGAACAGTGCGTAGCCTAAACCCTAAACCCCCAAACCCTAAACCCTACAATCCCAAAGCCTCAACCTCAAACCCCAAAAACCCTAAACCCTAGACCATAAAGCCGCAACCTCATACCCTAAGCCCCAAACCTATATGCTAAACCCTAACTTACTAAAACATGCTTCTACATGAGTCCCTAAGCCGCTTAGCCCTACACCTAAACCCTAAACGCTCGACCCGAACTTATTAAAACAGGCTTCTACATGAAGTAGGTTAATCGTGTGGATAACTCTGGTCATTACATGGCTATAGTGGTTATGATTATACCCCCAACCCCTAAACCCGTACCAACTACCCCCACCCCCCAAGTAGTGAGCCAGGCGGATCTCAGCCCGAACTACCTGGCCAGGCGTGTTCTGCCTGCGGCTGGGCCTGTTTTTGTTGCCGGTTTAGAGGTCGAGGTTTGGGGGAGGGATGTGATGTTCGGGGGAGGGGATTGCCCATATGTCTAGGGTGTTTGTTGGGGAAAGAGATGATGGACGTATTTTGTGGTTTGAATGTTTGGGATCATATAGGGACTCGTTTGACGCGTTGTTCCACACCAAGACATTGGATTTCCTCATTTAGACTCTAGGCTGTAGTGCGGCTTGAGATTTTGTGGAGTTTAGAGGTTTCAGGTTTTCGGGATTTAGGGCCCTGTTGTTTTTTAGGGTTACGTTTTAGGATTTCAGGATTCCAGATTTAGTGCTTCATTCAGGTCTCAGGTTTTAGGTCAAGGTACAATATGCGGGCTATGCAGCAGAGAGTTACAGGAGGGAAGAGGAAGGGATGTGCAGGGACTACAGAATTTCGAACTCAAACCTAGACCCTGGCCCTAACCCCTAGACACCCTCAACCTCAAAGCCTTTAACTCTAAATCTTAAACCCTAACCCCTACCTTTCCAGAGGGAGCGTGGGGATGGTGTGGGGCTACTCAGTCGACTTTGGGAACCGCAGGCCTTACTTGGAGGTGCATGGGACTAGCGATTAGGGTTGAGGGCTCAGTTATTTATGAGCCTACCCTAAACCCTAAAGCCTTCAACCGCATGTAATTGGGGTTAGAAGACCAGTTATATGTGGGTGCTAAGTCCCATCAACCGCCAAGTATCGTAAGGACCCTAGATTACTATATAAGCTACTTTCAGTTTTACCCTTATGAAGGGACCTTTAAGGGTGGACGTAGGGGTCCCTCCTGTAGTTTAGCATAGTCCCTAAAACGAACTCAAAACTTTCCCGGGGAAACATTGACTGATGGGTTTAGGGCTCAAGCCACAAAAGTTGTAATCGCAATGGTGTACCCTCAAGAAAGGTCCCTATGTGTATATTATGTATATATAGATGTGTATATGTTGAAGTTGCTGCTGCCTAAACCCTAAGCCTTAGACCTTAAAACATAATAAGTTGTGTCCCAGGTGGGCTTGTTCTTCACCACCTCCCTTATTCTCAGCCGCCGGGCGGCAGAAGTTGCCTCGGGGACTCACCTTTTGAGGGGCTGGCTCATCCCAGACCTCCCTAATGAATCCGGTTTAGGGTTTAGGGTGGAACCCATGAAAATCCCCTAGTTTCCCCAATGTAGTAATGGGTTCACATTGGGGGGTTCCATTTTTTTGGATGCTGTAAGGGGTGGGGATGAAGATACTGGTGATGATGGCAATCGCGGTGGCAGCCGAATAGGATTGCCAACAGCAATTCTAATAGCTACCTGGAACAGTATTACCCTAAGCCCTAAACCCCATAGGAACAACAATGAAAGGGTAACTGCGGCTCCTGCACTTTGCTAGTTCATGGGCCTGCCATGGATCTTCCTGAAATTTTGATCCCTATATAATTCAGGGCAAAACATACGTGTACACATCACTGGGGGTTGACCTCAGAGCCCTACCAACAGCGTTCGCGGAACGCTGCCGGGGGTTCGCGGAACGTTCGCGGGGTTCGCGGAACCTTCGCGGGGTTTGTAGAACCCTTCGGGGTGTTAGTAGAACCCGTTTGCAGAACCCAGTTTGGGGTTCGGTGAACCCTCTGGGGTTCGGCTACCTTCGGCTAACCTTTTGTGGGTTCGACAAATTTCGGCTTACCCTAGGGGGCGTACTCACAGAGAGGTGTACACATACAATTCTCCTCCAATAATGCCGTATGATGTATTATAATGACTTATATAATGCCTGTCTAATGTATCATAATGTATTCTAAAATGCCTGTATAATCTGTTACAATAAATGATATTTTTACTCCCTACTAACCCCCAGTAAGTTATTGAGGAGTTAGGATTCTGACGTTTGGGGCAAAGCATACTTCTTCTAGAAGCTTCGTAGGGGTCCAAGTCATTATCTCATATTCTCTTATACTGGTTATCCGAGATTACACTGGTGTTTCCTTGTGTAGAAGTGATTCTGATGCTTCTGGGGTGTTGTGGGATTTCGAGTCCCAGAAGTAAGGGTTGAGCTTTATACCGCCACAGAAATGTCATGCGATTGTAGGGATCAAGTCCAATCCAGTCATCACGCGGCAGTTCGGGCGCAAGGGGTGCACGGATTGCAGATGTTTGCTTTAGAAGTTTCGCGGGGTGAGGGCTTGGGGATCAGATTTTGAGATCTATTTGCATGCTTCGATGTCATGATCAAAGGGAGAAGAAATAGAGCACATCTGAGCTATAGTCAAAACTCCTGAAAGGGGGAATATATAGGAGATTATATAGGGGAGTATTCTAGGGGTTATCAAGGGGGATATTCAGAGTTTAGACTACGGCTCATCTGGATCCAGCAAGACGGGGTCCTTGAGGTTGGTATTTTGCTGTTCAGACGGCGACCTGACACTGCCAGGGTTTAGGGTTAAATGGGAAGATGCGCCTAGTGCATTAGCGAATGAAGTACAACAGTCGTTTCTCATAGCTTGCTATCCTTAATAGTGTATTCTCCTTATTACTATTTTTGTATTCTTACAACTTATCAGAGCTTTTGCCAGGCAACACGGCGTACCAGTATGCTGCGCGGCTGAAGAAGCGGTGAGCAGAAGGTTTGGCTGTTGCGGGTCCAGCCTCTTGCTGGGTCTTTCTCGGATGTGGGGACTTCCCGAGATTCATTATCAGACGGGCCACTATGAACTGTAGTCTAAACTCCTTCAAGGGGGCTATATAGGGGACTACGTATTACAATGCGGCTCCCCATACATTTACATGTTCTCCCCCTCAATCTGGGAACATTAATTCAGGCCAACATCCATGTGCTCTTTCCGTTTCATCGAAAGAGCTGATGACTCCCTAAACCGTTAAACCCTAAGCCCTAATGGCAGGTGGGCGCTTTTGAGAAGCTGATGCGGCATGCATTCTCACAACACACGCAGCAACGGATTTGTAGGCTTGTGGCTCGTAACTTCTCAGTAAAAAATAGTAACTGGGTAGGTGACCTTTAACCTGCTTGAGCTTTGGATTAAAGCCCAGACCCCTGCGAGGATCTAGAAAAGGGTTTCAGGGTTTCAGGGTTTAGGGTTTTGGGGCTTAAGGCTTTAGGATGTAGGGTTTAGGCCTATCATTATCATGGGTTTCCCTACTAGCCCGCTCTATACTGCCCCCCCGTAGGTTCCCCCTTTGATGAGGTCATTTAAGGGTAAGCCTAATTAAGGGGAGCCCATGAACTAAGAGACTTACAAGCACAGGCTTTGTGGCAGACAGCTCAGCTGCTTGGATGCTCCTTCACACTCCGCCTCATTACACCCCTACACTTACACCCCTACACCACCACACCCCCACACCCCAATGGTTCAACCACCAAAGAACAAAACTCTCAACTGAGGCCAGCGTTGCTTTCCTCCAGATGGTGAAGCAGAGCATCTCAATCTGCGAGCTGAGGGTTCTGACTGTGAATGATTTTGGCAGTTCCATAAATTAGCTCCTTGGGACTTAGCTTGGACCTTAGACCCTAAACGTTTTGGGATTCCCTTGTACTCCTATTATAGGTACCTAAGGGTTAACCCTCAGTAGGGGTCCTAATTGCAGGGGATCCTTGTATAGACCCCGATATATTATGCATAAGCCTTATTATGGAGACCCCCGTTTTGTTTGGCAAGCCCCTTTTGGGAAGGTGAGGGAGGGACAGAGGCTATGGCCCAGATTCCAGCACCTTCTTGAGGCCTGATTTTCTTAGCTCAACAGCTAGAAGTCGATTTTCGGTATTGTATTAGGAACTAATTATCCCTAGAGATCCGAGTATACAAATAATACCTATATTGGGCACTCCAGTGTCTAAATCTTGGCTACACTGTGCTATCAGGATCCTGAGGGTCTGGCAGTATCTTTGAATCTCAACCTGGTACAGCTCAATCGCTGATCGTTGCTGCTTTGACCTCAGGGCCCCAGGGCCAAGCAAGCAACAAGGCTGTACAGCCACGTCGTCGACCCGTGCTGATGCAATGTTGTTCCACGGCCTCGTCAAAAAAGCAAAAAGACAAGAAGGAGCAACAAGAATTGCTGCCGGATGTCTTGAATGGTTTCCTTAATACTGTAACAAAATTTAAGTTCCTCAACAGCATTATAGGCAACGTGATCATCGTCTTCCTGTTCTCGCTGATGCTTGGCATTGAGCAGCTTCCTGTCGGCATGAAAGGGGTCAACAACGAAAGGAAGGACCCAGTCCTGAACACTAAACTCTAATCAAACCCTAATCCCTACACCCCTAATCCCTAAACTCCCTGAACCCTAAACCCTAATCCCTAAACCCCAAATCCTAAACCCTGGAAGGTCAAAACGCCATGAACGGCTTGTCCACCATTCGGCCCTGCTGCTCTTGCAGGTCTGTTCTCCCAAGGGAACCCTTTCTACCGTTATCTTACATAGCCTTCCAAAAGAATATCTGCGCCCTTGATCCCCTGCTACAATCTCTACTCAAGCCTCCAACCTGAAAAAAAACACTCTGCCACCTGTAGTTTCTTCAGGAATGTTTTCATTATAGTATAACCCTAAGGAGTTATTAAAGATTATATTTTTTTACTATAGGTCTACAAGGAGACTATGGCAACCATACACCCATAACTTTGCAAGGTTCCGACCGCGCATGGCTCTGGTTCTGCTATGTGTCACGCGGCATGGACAATGATTTTCCAGAGCGTATATAGTGTTTCCGGGCGGATTACAGCGACCTCAACCCCAAATGCTTGTTTGGTGTAGGATTTCAGGCTTGAACCCTGAACCTGTCACCCTAACCCAGGGCATAATTATACTTTTCGCAGGGTGCGGGATCATCAGTGGGATCGAGCCAAAACTGCATGCTGCGAGCAGCCAGAGCAGGCCCTGCTTGGAACCCGACCCAAATTGGGCTTTTAAGTGTCCAGGCACCAAAATATCAGGGCTTGAGGCTCAAACATTATGATCTGAATGATTGCAGGTCCTAAGCCCCTTGAATATTGGGTGCTTGGACCCTCCAGTGTTTGCCTCAACTCATTTTTTTTGTTGCGTCGCCCCCCCGACTTGCAAATCGACAGTTATCTGCATCCCCTTGTGCCGAGGGATATCACCTCGAGCCTTCGGGGTTCCTTCATGTGAGCTAAAGTCTAAACTCCTTTAAGGGAGGTTATATGAGGGATTAGATAGGGGACTACTATATGGGTTATGAAGTGGTTTATTAGGAGTTTAGACTATACACCCTCCAATCCCCTATATAATCCCAGTTTCCATTTCATTTTCCATTTTCTATTCGGTTTGATTCTCCATTGTTAAGGGGGATACTAGGAGTTTCGACAATGGATCATGTGGAAACGGATCTTTCCTTTGGAAGCTGTGGCTATGTATTGGGTTTTCCCCCAACCCAAACCCTAAACCCTTAACCACGGGGTTTAGTGTTTAGGGTAACCCATGTAGGACTCCCCTAAGTCCTCAACCCTATATATGGTAGTTTCCAATTGATTTCCATGACCTCTATATAACCCCAATATACTAGATAGTAGTTTCCAATTGCTTTTTCCATCATCCGTATATAACCCCAACCCTAAGCCCTGAAAAGCAGTTTGGATTTGCTTTTCCATTATCCCTATATAACCCCAACCCTACACCCCAAACCCTAAATAGTAGTTTCCATTTGCTTTTCCAGTACCACTATATGTACCCTAAACCCTATAAACTCACCCAAAACCCCATATATGTATCTCGTTTCTTAGCATACTTCCTCTCATTCCCCGTGCAACCCTGAACCCTTGGAGCGCTATATTGTTGTTTGATTCTGGTGTATTTTTCTTCAGCGTACTGTAGACCTCTGATTAATAAACCCTCTCCTTTTAAGGGTCTTGATATTGGGATCCTTATTCTCATCCCTGTTAGGGGGAGGTGTTACAAGCAGGGGTCTGGGTTACCTAGAGTATCCATGGGACCTATTAAGACAAGGGGTTTTCACATCTTTCTACCTAATGTTTGACTTCCACGAAGGACCATTCACCCCTGCATCGCTTTGATTAACGTTAAGACTCTGAGACCTTGATCCCAAAGCCCGCAGCCCAAACGCCAGTAGTGTGGACACGTGGCTAACACTATTCCCTACCAATCCTTGTATAGGAGGGCTTTGCTAAAACCTCCCAAATCCTCTTTTGAGTGTTTATGCTACCACGCTACAATCTCCAAGTCCTCCTTTACACACAGCTTCCATTTTATTGTTAATTTGATTCACCCCTAAACCCTTATCCTAGAATCTAGGCGCCCAAATGTAGAAGAGACCTGCTAGCAGTATCCGGTTAGAACCCTTATGGAACTATGGCCTAAAACACCTCCACACCCCGTTCTAACGAAGCCGGCCCGTACCATACCGTCTCCGGTCATGTTCGCGACGTAGAACCCTTTTAGAATTATGGGCCGAGGCATCCCACACCCTGCTCTAATAATTTCGGCCCCTACTGCGGCCCCCCCCTAAACCCTAAACCCTCTACTGTGTACCTTCTCAGGTCATGTTGGCGACCACCTTCACTGTCCATGGGGAAGTGAACTTCTCGCTGACAGGGCCGGGAGCTGACAAAAGTGGGGCCCTGAAGCAAAAATTCAAGCTGTAGGCTGCTTACTGGTTTTTTCTTGAATATATTTTGCAAGTTTTACTATATTTAAAAGTATCGAAAAGTTAGATAGGGAGTAAAAACTAGTGTTTGGCATTTATCCTGGGAAGGAATAGTGAGGGCGCAGGGTCTAGGATCTAAAGGTGAGGGCTCAGAGGCTGAGGAAGCGCCTGAGGAAGCGGCAGGAATCAGCAATGCCATTTCTTAGGATCTTCAGGGTTTAGGGTTTAGGGCCTTCCAAAGTTTCGCGACCCGACCCACTCCAGGGAGTGCGGTGGGTTGGTGGCCTCTGTTCTGGATGTCCCACCCAAAACCACACAGAGTAGCACCGTTCACGGTTTCCCCACGCCGGGGTGGTGGCAGCGATTTAAGACTTAAGGGCTCCAGATGCATCCATGTACTCATTCATCAGCACTGCCGCCTGTTTCAACCCAAGGATTAAGCCGTAATCCATGGCCCCTAGTCGTTAGACTCCCCGAGGTCCTTACGTATAGTTTCCCAGACCTTGCTTCCCCAACCTTGCAATCCTTCCCATCAATGGGGTTTGGTTATATATACCCCAATAATGGAGAATCAAATGGAAAAGACAATGAAAAATGAAATGGAAACTGGGATTATAGGGTAGTAGTTTATAACCCTAATCCCTAAACCAAAGCAAGCTGGCCCGCGCAGGTTCCTCGTCCAGCTGTCCTGCAATTTTGCGGAGTCTGCGAAAGTGGTTCTTCAAGGAAGGGCAGCCGTGGGACTCAATTTGGGGTTTAGGATGAGGGTGGGAACCAGAATGGAGAATCAATCGGAATAAGTAGTGGAAGCAGGGTGTATTTTCGTGGGGCTTATATTATGTTGGGAGGCAAGAATCAATACGCATTAAACCCTAAATTCTACAGTGTACGTAGCAGTTGTTTTGTTCACCCCTGCCATGCCTGGTGCAGGTTTCGAACCTTTCGCCGTAGACCTCAGACACGGCTTAGGATTCAGGATTTAGGGATTGGGGTTTGGTGTTTACAGTTTACAGATTCAAGTTTGCTGTTCACTTCCAGCTTCCATTTCATTTGCCACTTTCTTTTGCTAATTGATTATCGCTTACCTTGAGTTCTAAGCCATCTATGTTCATATAGCACTATATAATTATTTATATATATATATTTATATACATACCCCAAGCAACACGAAAACCATGAGCCGAGCTGCCAACAACCTACAGCAAAAAACCGACAACCCCCCCCAAAACACAACTGATGTTTTGCCATCCTGTTGACGGACATATGGAAAATCTTACATGTGGTTCGGTAACCTAAAGCCATTCTGGGTTTGGGATTAGGTTCAGGGTCTAGGGTTCACTCCATCAACAGGGATGTGAGATGGAATCGTGAACGCGGCTGCCAGGAGTTCTCCTGGCTGGTGGCGGGCTCAGACAACGCTTTCATTGGGACAAGGATTTGTACTCAGAAAGTTTTCTCCAATCTACAACTCCACCCCGCAAGAAAGAACAGGGCGATGGTTCATGCAAAGCAGCCCCGCCCAACTCTATGTCAGCATGCGAGTGTTTCAACAAAGTCCTTTCGCATCCCTTGTGAGAGGATCCTGCAACCTCCTTTATAATTTCCGCCTGTTGCTCGGGCCCTGAGCGCACAACGATTTTCAGAAACTCCCACACCACGTGTCCTGAAACGCTCCAGCTCTGGCAGTCAGTTGTTGTTCTACTGCTTGAACCCATTTGTACTCTTATTAATGTTACCATTGCGTATTCTTACTATTATCATGGTCATGATGATTATTATTGCTTTTACTGTCCGTTTCCATAAAACCCCTGGGAAGGGCAAAATTTGCCGTGATATTTAATACACAGACCCCATCATCAACATAAGCGCCGCCATGACTACCAGCATCGTCACCACAATCAGAACCATCACATCGTCATTATCACCTTCGCAATCATCCGCGCTACTACCGCCAGGCAGCAGGGAAGCATGGACTCTGCAACACTTTAGGGTTTAGGGTCATACGGTTAGAGGGTCAGAGAGTTTAGGGTTTAGGGAGCTCGTTGGCATCATGCCTGTCTGTGGAGCAGCTACATTACCTGTCGGCACCTGCACTGCTGCTTCTCCTCCTCTGCGAAACCCTAAACCCCAAATCTTTAACCTTAAACAATCGTTTCCATTTTCCTTTCCATTCCGCTACATCCCCCCTGTAAATTCCCGATGCCTTTTAAATAACCCCACCAAGGCCTTAAATCCTAAACCGCAAACACTGCCTTGCGACAAGGCGCGGGTCGCAAGTTGGACCCCTTGTCCTTCGTTGCCACGGTGGCGCCCATGTGTGCGGTTTGCCTGGGAGGCCCTCAGGTTCATCTGCCCTGCCTTACTGGAGGTTAGTCGGGAAGAAGGGAGTGTGGGATATATGGGTTACATAGGGATTATATAAGATTATATAGGGACGATATAGGGACTATATATGGATTACATAGGGAATATATTCCCTTATTCCCTAATAGCGACCAGTAGGCTGCAGATTGCTGAAGTTAGTGCGGGATTCATTCTGACACGCTGGTGCTGTCTAGGTGTTGCGCCCTAGACCCTAAACCCTAAACCCATTAGCCCTGAACCCCTACCCTCAGTAAGGGAAGAACTCAAGCCGTTCTGCCGCAGAAAGGCATTCTCCTCCTGCAGCCTCACGCGTCCCGGCAAAGAGGGGGTTTGAATGGGGGTTAGGGGCTTAAGGTTCCTAGACCCTCCTCCTACCGTCTATTAGGGCCTAAGTACCCACTATTAGGGACCATATATCCCCAATTAAGGGTACAAGGAAGGTCCTGGTTCATGAGGGCTTCAGGGGCTAGGTTTTGTTGGTGGTGGGCTTTTGTTCAACGAGCGCGCCGGCTAGTTGCCTGAGACTTGCTTTCCGATGTTTAGGGTTTAGGGTTTAGGGTTGTGCTTTCTAGAATGTTGGCCTCTCTATGGATTGACGGGTGCCCTCCAAAAAAAAGAGCCCTGACCCGCCACAACAAAAGCTTCTCCCGACTGGTGAGCTTTCAGTGTTCTAGGCCGAACTGCAGGTGGCTAACCCTGAACGGAAGGGGTCATGCAAGCTTCGATAATTTGGCTATAATTAGGGCAATTTATTTCGGCTCTCATAAGTTCGAAAGAATAGGGCTTACAAAATGGGGCCCACTATGTCGGAGATATGTCGTTTTGTTGGAGTCCTGAGTCAGAAGCCCGAACGGGGGAACGTCAGTCTCCAGAACCCATTCGCCCATTCTCTGCTCTCTCTGTCACCCTCTCTACCAAACAAGAAGTAGGCGGGAACCCTCAACTATAAACTCCCAAACCGCTTAAACTCTCTTTGTATTCTTAAGCCTCTGGGCCCTAACCTAAACCCCTAAACCAGAAACCCAAAGTCCCAAAGCCGTAAACCCTACCCCCAAACCCCCGAAACCCTCAAATGGTAGTCTCAAGTCCCTAAACTCCAAATCCTGAAGCCATGAGCATTAACCCCCAAACTCCCAAACCTTAGTAGGCGAAACATCGCTCAACAGGCCTCTAGTCCACAAACTTTTGAGGGTCCAGGTACACACCCTAAAACCCTAAACCCTAAACCCCAAACTCGCCCAGGTCCAGGGATTATCATGGATCTCGATGCCAGCCCTGGAAAACCTCCATGCATGTGGTTATTTGCTCGCAGGCAAGCCGCCGCGCCGGGCCTCTGTCTGGGTAGGGAGAAGCCTAAATTAGCCATACCCAGACCCCCAAAGGGATCTAGAACCATATGGGAAGTTATATAAGGATTATATAGGGGTTATAAGGGGCCTATATAAGGGATCTAATTTTTAGATCCTCCCAGGGGTTTACTGTCAGGGGGGGCTAGGAGTTTATAGTGGGATTATATAGGGGGTTACTGTAGGGCTTCATCATTCAGGGGAATGCCAGGAGTTTAGACTCCCTGGCTCAAATGATAACCAGGTAGCATCCTACAGTCTCCTAGGCTCTTAGAACAGGACTCTGTCTGGGAAACATGGATTTTCTCCACTATAGAGCGCTAGTGTTGTGTAATATGCCTACCTAGATACCCAGACCCCTGGGAGGATCTAAGAATTAGATCCCTTATATAGACCCCTTATAACCCCTATATAATCCTTATATAACTTCCCATATGGTTCTAGGGGATCTAATTTTTAGATCCCTTTGGGGGTCTGGGTAGGCCCTGGAGTGCCAACGCCAAGCTTCTCAGGCTTTCGTAGAAAGCGAGTTCTGGCTTGAAGAACCCTAGAAGCCCAGGTACCCATATAGTCGGTCCTTGGGTTATAGATAGTATAAATTTATATAGGGACTTAAGGACAGGAACCCAATATTTTGGTATCTGGGCTTCTAGGGGAAGCAGGCTATGGGAAAGTGCAGTCGGTGAGCTCACTGTTTGCCAAAAGTCCAAACCGTAATTCCGGATCACCCGACCTTCATTTCCACACCATGAACCTTACACCCCAATCCCTAAACCCTAGACCCCAAAGCTGAACCGTAAACCCGAAACCCTAGCCCGACATCTTAAATCCCAAGTCCAACATGTCAGCTCTGAAGCCACAATCCCTCAACCCAAAATTCCAGCTCGCAAGAACCAAAAGGCAGTTTCTACTCATTACTAAAATGGGACCTCCCAGGAAATGCGTCTTTTTTCCCCAAGATCGTATAGTCCTTGCTGAAGAGACTCTCAAAAGGGCACTCCTAATCTTCGGGAAGCCCCACAAGCCTGCAGAGCAGGCAACATTCTCTGTGCCTTCGCCCTGAACCTGGTCATCGCGAACTACTTGTGTCTAGGCAGGTTTCAAAGGAATTCTCAAGGGGTCTCAGGTGGGCAGTTACCGGGTGGGTATCATAAGGCGCATGTCAATGTAGTGCTCGTACAAGGATAGCTTCTGACCTAGGTGGGGAAACTTAAGTTACAACCCAAAAAAGTCTTGCAAATTTCTTATAACTACTCGTATACTTAACACGAGTGCTTGGTCATATGCAAAACTGGCCTCTAACTCACGTGCAAAATTGAAGCAAATGCCTCGAGACCTCCTCAGCTGCCCCCGCTGTCAAATGTCTAGCGTTTAGGGCTTAGGGTCATTTTGGCAAAAACTTGCCATCTTTTATTGCTACTCACGCGGACCTCCAAAAACACACGTAACAATAGGTTTGCCGCTGGCACAGGGCGTTATGTGGGAGCCGCCGGGCACGTAATGGCATATAGCCCTTAGATTCTGTCGTTCTCCATATTTATTTGGAATGCCGGTAATTAGGACCCAAGCATGGAAAGGCCTGATAGTGACGCGAGACTAAACGGTTGATTGTTACTTTGGGGGGAGGATTGATTGTTCAGCCCTATTTGCTTTCCCTAAGCCTCGAACCCTCAACCTCGAAAACTAGAAATGGTATACAGCCCAAGTAACAAAACACAGAACTGCTCAAACCTTCACCTAAAACTCAGGACTGCGCCCTCTGCCATCCCAGACCCTCTAAAGCATCCAAGCAATGGAACCCCTAAGAATCCGTTAGTTTCCGTAGTCATAGGTTTAGATTTTTTTGGGAGGGGGCTCCATTTTTGGATCCTAAACCCTAAGCCCTGAACCCTGCGCAGCCGAGGAAGCATGGCTCACCTCTATCCTTCCTTCTCACCAACCTGGTCAAGGACCTGCACCTCCCCAAGGCATGAATCCCAGTAGTCCCTGCCCTTTGGCCCGCAAATTGGGCCCCAAGTTGGTATACCTGGACCCCAAAAGTAGTTTTGTTTGGGGGGGAGAAGGAATTCAGTTCAGATAATGAATCTCATATTTATCGTACTACTTTCAGAAATAGCGATTTTTGTCAAAGCTCTTCGAACGTCTTTTATACCAAGGTCATCTAAAAAGCAAAGAAAACTATGTACTTGGATACTTGGATAAAATTGAATCTGAGAAACGGAATGAAATAGCCCAAGCCCCTGAACATAGCCTGAAAGGCCATTATTCCGCATACTTTTGGGGCTCAGAAAACCCTTATGATTGGGGCTGTTCGTTTGGGAGAGGGTACGGGAGGACCCCACACCCTTTCAAGGTGTTATAATAGGAACGTAAGAGGACCCTACAATCCTTATTATGCCATATAGTCACTATTGCTAGGTGGGGGTCCTCCCTAAACTGTAAGCCCTAAATCCTAAACTCTTACAACCTAAGCCCTAAACTTACAGTCGCTACTGTTGATGGAGGAAATCTTGCACCACCTCAAGTCCCTAAAGTCCTAGGAATTACAGTAGTTTAGGGCCCCTAGGTGGTGCAAGATTTTATCCACCAACAGTATTACTGCGTGGGGGGGTCCACGTAAAGGATGCCATGATCGTGATCGTCAGCACTGCCACCTTCGGAGAGCACGCAACTGGGATCTGGATGCTTACAGGTTGGGCTCATGCACTCCAGTATGTGCAAAGAACTCGGGTTCCCAGTGCACTAATACCGGGTTTGGGGTTTAGGCCTAAAGGCTATAGATATTTCCTACATTGGGTCATGTAGTTGGGCTCATGCACTCCGGTATGTGCAAAATTAGAAGTCACTAGAACTCCAGATTTGCACCCTCTACCATTTTTTTAATCAGCCCTAAACTTCAACCCTGTGGCAAAGATCCACCCCTGGCTCCCTTCATGAATCTCTTGAGTTTGGAAGTCTGAGTCTCATTTGGGCCCTTAGCCTCTGTAGGCAACCTTGGGGTTGACTTAGGATACAGAAGTACATGCATGAATAGGGTTTAGGATTTAGGGGTATTGTCCCCCTTAAGTAGATCGAATATAGGGTATATGGGGATCTTACTAGAATATACCCAAAGCCATATTCTACCGAAGGGGGACTATAACAATGGGGTTTCCCAACATGAGGGGAACCCTAAACCCTAAACTCTAAATCCTTAAACCCTAAATCCTAAACTCTAAATCCCTAAATCCTAAATCCTAAACTCTAAATCCCTAAACCCTAAACCCGGCTGCCAAGGTCAGTCTACAGCAGAAGTGTGCCTTCAGCGCACAACTCAGTTTCATCGCGCTGTGGTCGCTCATGACCCTTGACTTACTTATCCTATAGTAATAACAGTCAAGATATATCAAACCATTACTAGTAGTAATAGTAATAATAATAGTAGCAGTAATGGTAATGGTAAGAATTAACAGTAATCTTACTTAGCCAATGGAAGAACTTTAACCTTTTTGGGCTGCCTTTTTGGGTCTGTAGTAAAAGGTTGAACTTTTTTGGCCCTGATTGTTGGGGAAGAGAGTTGATAGCGGTTAGACCTGCGCCCCCGTTCGAGCATAGGGTTCAGAGGTGCAGAAGTGTCAGGTCAGTGAGCTTTTGGAACTGGGACTGTTGTCTTGCGTTGTAGTTGTGGCCCCTAAACCCCAAACCCTAAACCCCCTTACAGCCTAAACCCCAAATTCCCACCCAGACCTGCTTAGGCCGTACCCACCCTTTTCCAGTTGCCTGGACCCAGAACTATATCCAGCAGCTAGACACACCATGGCTTGGAGCAACAATGCAAGGGGTTTGTGTTTAGGGTTTAGGGTTTAGGGTTTAGTGGTGCAGGAGCCCCGTCTAGGGGCCACGTTTTCTGTGATTCATTATGTTTTGTTAAGAAACCCTAAACCCAGCGACCTGCTTGCCGGGCGCGGGCGGGCTGGGCGCTCTGGGCGCCCTGCCATGCTTTTCCTGGAGGGTAGGGAACGGCACCAAACCCAAGATTCTGAGTTAAACCCTAAACCCTAAAACCTATGAACAAAGGAAGGGCAACCCGGAAGACTTCGACAAGTATGGCTTCGTCGGTGGTCTGGTGGGCGTTTGCCTCAGCTATTTATGTACCCGAAAAAGGAGTCCAAAACTTTGCTTACAGGGATATTTGAATCTTTAAGAGGGGTCCCATACTTCTTAAATAGAGACATAGGGATTAGGGTTTAGGGTTGGAAGTTTAGGTCCCAGAAATATGTGGGGGCGTACAGGGGAACCCCAATCTACACCCGAAAATACTACAATCCTTATCATGGGACCCCCAACAAGGTACCCCTAATTTTGGGAAACCCCTACACCTACACCCCTAAACCCTGAACCCTAAACCTTAAACCCTAACTCTAAGCCTTATATACCCCAAACCCTACATTGAGGCACCCTGCGATCCATGACGACCTCCCGAGCCGCATAGAAGACTTCGAAGACTTCGAAGCACGCCTAGCCTAAGCCATTGCACGGCCATCTCTCGGGGGATTTGAGGGTTTGGATTTAGGGCTTAGGGGGTGTAGTTACGACTTAAGGTTTAGGGTGTAGGCACTGAACACCGCGCACCTAGCCCAGTATAGCCACCCTCGATTCGATTCCTGCTAAACTGAGGGGGGGTATAGTGGGCTGCGATTAAAACGGAACCCGCAACCTCGGATTCTAGGATGCCTTCCCAAATGTCCGGTTCCCCTAGACAGGATTTTGCACTAAAGCAGGGGATGCCGCACATTCATGGCAATGGGTTCTGAGCCGTGAACTTGATTTTACAAACTGGGCGCGCTGAGTACGGCTCTGGGAACTTGCGTCAGATATCCAGAGCAAAGTGCTTGGGTCAAGGTTTAGGGCTGGCTGTTCTCATGGGTTCTCCTACCCACACCCCCAAGCTTCCCCCTTAATTAACCATAGTCAACCCTACAGAAGCCTAATTAAGGAAGAACCTCAGAGCGGCTGGATAGGCAACCTAGAAATGTAATGGGCTAGCCCACAAACACACAGATCCCCCAATTGTACGCAAGCATGGTTCAGGTTGCCACTTTCCGCTATATAGATAGATAGATATACATAACCTGAAAACACAGATAGCTTCAATGATTTTCGAGTAGCTCTGAAGAGCAGCTGGCCCAGGGAGCGGTTATAAATAGTCCGGACCCGCTTCAACCCTCTTCCCGCCACATGTTAATAGATAGTCTCCAAGGTCTCATAGACAGCTTATAGATAGCTTCAAAGATTTTATATGTAGGCTCTACGCCTCAAACCCCTGAAACAAGCAGAGAGACGGAAGAACTCAGTAACCCAAATCCCTAAACCCTGAACCCTGTACCCTCAGCTTTCACTTGAAAGCAACTCCGAGCCTCAACATTAATCCCTACTTATATAGTCTAAACTCTTAAAGGGAGTATATATATGGGGGGTTATATAGGGGAGTGTTATAGCGCTTATTAAGGGGCATACTAGGAGTTTAGACTATAGCTGAATTGAAGGCTCACGGGGTTTTGTATCTACTTGTAATTGGGTCCCTTCAAAAGGGGTTATAGGCTTATTTTATAGGGCTTATTTACTTCTAACCGAGTCCTTTTAACGGGGGGTATAAGGCTATGTAGGATTAAGGGTTTACTGTTCATGGGATTTAGGGTGTAGGATTGAGGGTTTAGGGTTCATGGGCTTAGTAACTACTTATAGCTGGCCTTGAATAATCCCCCTAAAGTGGACTCGTGTTATAATCCTAGCAATAAGTTACAAGCGTTACTATATCCCATGAATCTGGATGCAGAAGGGACCTCCCCGCATAAGAACTATTGTATGTATATATCTATACACATATGCATGTATATATATATATGTATATGCATATATGGTTTAAACGATACGCTTTTTCCATTGGTTGTCCACTGCTGATATTTGCTTAGCCCCCTAAAGCCTAGAACTAAGGACCCCAAGTCCTAAACCCTGGAAGCCTAAACCCTAGAACACCAGTATTTTGGCCCCTACGTTGCCTGGCAGTGGCAGAGGCTTCCCTATTCCCCTGACACCCTGCAGGGAAATGAGAGCATTGACTCTGCGTCGGTATGGTGGTTATTAGAATTCCTGCGTACGCGGTTGAGGGTTTTGGGGTTCAGAGTTTTGGTATCAATTGCAGGTAACCCCCACCATGCCAACAACAAATACTTGCCGCCCATTGAATAGAATGGGGGGGCGTCATTATTAGGAGTAAAAGAATAACAATTGTAGGAGGAACGCATGCCCTCAATACCTGCAGAATGCCGGGGATATTCTGCCTAATGAAGAAAGTCCATTGTGCAGCCTTGCGAAGCTTGTCTGCCGCACGCTGGCAGTTGCCTTAAATTCAATGGAGCTTTCTTTTGGGTAGTTACGGTTTAGGGTTTAGGGGTTTAGGGTTTACGGGTTTACGGGTTTATAATCCTGAGCACTTCCTGAAATCGTGATGTCCACCAGGTTTCCAGGGAACTGTGTGACACAGGGACATGGGTGTATGGCTAGGTGGTATGGTGGGATAATCGTTAATTTCCCCTACTGGCCGTATTGTGGCATAAGGGACCCACTGTCCAGATAATTTGGGCACGCTGAACAAAACTCTCCTTGGTTGAGGGTTCAGGGCCCCCCCTCTCTCTCTCTCTCTTACTGCATTCTGGCGCTTGCGGGCTGGGGTGCAGTTTTTTGGAGGAGGATATGATGATTTCCGAAAATACGGGGACCCCAATAAGTCCCTAAAATACAAGCATCCTTACTAGGGGGGCCCCCCAAAAAGGTACCCCTAATTTGTTGAAACTCCTGTAGAAGGCGACGCGGTCTTCAAAGCATAGGCAGCCGCCATCATGATCTCCTCTTTACATCATCTTCGTGGGATTAAAGGAAAATTTATGGTACATAAAGGGCATATAGTAGGTATATTATCAGGATTAGGGTTTAGGGTTTAGGGCCCATACTAATGGCCCACAGTTTCAACCTCAGACTTCTTTGCATCCAAGCTTCCCGCCATGCCACATGGGAATTTTTACAAACTATCGCGACTGGAATACAAATCAATTGTCGGGCGTTCTATAGGGAAGAGTATGGGTTTCTCTAGTACATAGCCAGTTTGGGGGTCTAACTTTGGAAGTTGTCGAAAGGGGTGCGCAGACACCATCTCCGCACGACTTTTGTCCGGAGAGTTGGAGCAGGTACTGCGGAGTCCGAATAAGTAGAGTATGGCAGGGTTTCGGCTGATACTTCATCTATTTGAGTACTGAAGTGGGATGATTGGAATTCCTGGCTTGCATGATTTCTGGAAAAGCGGTACTTATAACTGGGCTCATATCCTTACGTGTAATCCCCCCAATTGAACTTATGGGTAACCCTAATTCGAAGTACCCGGTTATTAGCTAAGTAGTTGCTAAGTCGCATGGACGTTTCCCTTGGTGAGGGTTATTCAAGGAAAATCTGAGGGCTGGTTCATGGCTAGTTAAGGGGGATCCGAGGGAGTCGGTATAGGGGGGTGGTATGGAGCCGACACTTTGAGGAAAGCTCCGTTAATGCCTCACCGGGGAAGTCCTCAAACCAAAAATCCTGAATCCTAAGCCCAAGCCCTAAACCACAGTTGCGGGGTCCAGCAGTGCGCGAAATTCAGACTGCCTTCTAGTTTGAGGCATCTCCCAATTTGCCTGAAAGGTTTAGGGTTGTGCCAGAAACGACAGTGCAGGCAATGTAGGAGACTTGAAAATCGGGAGTATGGGCATGATCTCCTTTACAGCGCCCCAAGCACTAGAATCCTGATTGCGGTGACCCGCCACGAAGGCACCCTCCAAACCCCTATATCAAAACTCTATATCCGGACCCCTTCAACCTCAAATCCTCATCCGTCAACACTGAAGCCTACACCTTAAGCCCCACCTAAACCTTGAATCATCAACCATAAACCTTGAATCCTAGACCTCAAGCCCACCCTCAATCCTCAACCCCAACCCAGACACCCAAAAGGATCTAAACATTACATCCCCTAGAACCATAGAGGGATTTATATAAGGATTATGTAGGGGTTCTAATGGATCTATTTAGGGGATCTAATTTTTAGATCCTGCCAGGGTAGGAAACTCTGATTCCTACACTCTTTCTTCTTCTGGCCCCTGGCAGTGGAGCCATCCGACGGAGCGTTCGCAGCCATGTAGCCTTAGAGGTCTGCTCCAGGAGTAGAGGTTTAGGGAGTGCAGGGTTCAGGGAGTTTAGGGTTAAGGGTTTAGAGCCTTACTACTACAGGGGTTTAAGGTTTAAGGTTTGAAGCCTTACCACAAGAGGGTTTATTGAAGGTGAAGGGCCTAGGGCGTCGACTCCATAATGATATGACGCCAAATTATGGCATGAGGGGATGGGGTCCTATGGGGTTCCACTCAACCACACGATTATTCATATAAACATTTCAGACACCTCTGCCGAGCCCTGATAAGGGTTTGAAGGGTTACGGTTAGGGCTTAGGAAATTCTATCTCCTTCTGATAAGGCACACCCATGCCTCATCAATCCTGTAGATCCGTGTGATTGGTATAGGCCCCTCTTCACGGCCTGATACACCCGAAACTCTCCTAAGCACCCATCTTACCCATCTTCTCGTCACTAGCGCTTAGCAGCGTTCATGGAATGGAATGCCTCCAGAACCTAAGCCCTAGACCTCAACCCTTTCTGATCCATCCCCTCAACCTTAAATCCTAAGCCCCAAACCCTGAAGCCAAATCCCCCCAAACCCTAAACCCTAGTCCCTTAATTCCCATCTCAAAACCCTAAACCCCTAAACCCTAACCCCACAGCCACGTAAAGCCATCCCCTGGTGCTGCTGAAGACCGTGTGCTCCGCTCCTGACATGCAGCAGGCCTGCGAAACATGTACCCAAAGAGTCCTAAGAACCCAGTTTAGGCTTTGGGATTTAAGGTTCAGGGTTTTTCGGCAGGAACTTCAGTACCCAGTTTAGGGTTTATGGGCGAGGATCCTAAGTACACAGTTTAGGGTTTGGGGATTGGGGTTTACGTTTGGGGATTCGGTCTTTAGGGTTTAGGGAGGGGACGAAATACTTTCTTAAGTGCCCATTTCCAAGAAACACTTTCCCGAAATTATAAGGGAAAGTTCCTACCACAGCGACTTTACTTTCTACTATAGAGGTACTTTGAACTCTTTGCTGTAGGAGCAAGGGTTTGGAGCTGTGGATTTTCGGCTATAGGGCTTAGAAATAGGGCTGCTGAGTTCGGGTTTAGGGCTTGAGCGTTCAGGGTTCCGAAGAGCCATCCTGTTCTCACCTTATCGTAGTAGGGATGGCTTCGCATCAACGACGGCAAAAGTCCCTAAACCCTAAACACATTAGGTGCAAGCTGATGGCTCCGTTCTTGTTGGAGTCCCCTGTACAGCGTAATTTCCGATGCCCAACAAAACGTAGCTGTTTTGGTAA